GTTCCTGTGATCGAACATTCTAGTGGAATTACAGTGCGTGGACACAGCCAGACGACAACGGACGTAGACGAACGACTGAGTACCGGCCTTAATCAGGAAGAAGATACGTTACCCAAGGGACACCAGGTCACTGGGGCGTTACAGCTTCGTTCACAGTCGGTCGTAGATAGTGGACGTCATCGGTAGCTTCTCCGTTTCCCCTCATAACTCCGAGATGTGAAAAATCGATTTTTTTCTTATTCCACAACATCCCATGTACAATTGCATCAGGTTACATGGGTTGGTAGTGTTCATTCACCGTCTAGTGTGTATGTGCCGTGGTCCTATAGGGAGATTGGTGTAGCAGTCTTGGCCGCCGTGAGACGGGTGGAAACGTGACGAAGACGCGTCTGCTGTGCTTCCCCTTCACGGTCATGTCCCGGCAGTGGCGGGGTTAAGGTCTTAACGAACTCCGGTAGATCACAGTTTTTAGGTCTTCGAGTCCTACTGTGTACTATCCAGAAGCAGATTTGTTTAGTTAACGTAAAAGTATAGCATTTGGACGGCTAACAACCAGCGCAGGGCATAAGTACAAACAACTTGATTGAAACGACTGCTCATACAGCAAACGCACACTTAGCTATTTTCTGCGGTTGACTCTGAGGATGGATTAAAGCCAGAATCCGAAACATTGGACCAATAAACTCCTTGTTCCAGCAACTGCCTCTTCTACTTCTTACCTACTCCCTGGAACTCACCTCCTCGCTCTTATCAACAACCCGCTAGGGTACGATGCACCCCGATTCGCTCGACGATAAGAGACATTTGCCCTTCAGGAGTCGTCTACTTATATGCATATGCGTTGCCGAAATGTGTTCCTTGCGAGACGGGCAGTACATCAGACCCCTTTTCTGCCGTTGTCTCTGATGATGTGTAAAGGCCAGAATCCGAAACGTTAGGCCAACAAAATGTCTTGTTCCAATGACCGTGTATTCTTTTTCTGCAGTTTTTCGAGCGCAGGAAGGTATCGCAAACGAAGGCAAGCAGTGGGACGATACACATTTAAAAGAGTTGCTCCTTGCTTTATGGGCACGCACTAGTATCGCCCGCGGCTGGCAACTGCTCGGCCTACTTTGAAATAGGCGTACTTGCTCAACAGTTTAAATTCGTGCTCATCTATTTCATACAGAGAGAGAAAGGCGTAAAGAAACGTGCACAGAGACCTATGGCTCTACGGAGAGCAGCCACTAAGGTGTCGAGTTGCTGCTAAACAGTGAAGCATAGCAAATGATACGGTAGTACAGCGCATGCCGGACGCAAAGGATCCACGTACACCAAATTGGTTTCAGGGTCGTACTAACTCCCGTCCAAAAGCAGCGTATGCGAAGAGTCTAAACCGATAACGTTCATTTTTCTGCTTTCATTAAAGAGAGGTAACCGAGATTCCGGGCTGATCGACAAGATAGGGAAGCGAGTCAAGTCTTCCAACCCATGCCCTGCTTAAGTCGACGGCCTGAACGAGAGGACAAATGTTCGCCTTTATGCGTTTTACTTCGTTCGGGCCGCTTGCATGCATAATTGCCGAGCGATGTGCTCAAAACGGACAGCAGCCGTAAACCTCACAAGTGAGCCAAACAAACGCAATGTAGACTGAAAAAGGTGCCGACTAATTGCATCTTATGTGGCGGCGCTTCAGGGTCTTGTCGAACCACCGCTGACCAAGCTAATAATGGACGATTACAAACTATTGCATTTATCAGCTAAGCATGGAGTAGATAAGAATACGGCGGGTCTACCAATCCTCATAAGCCAAATTTGTACCCTTACCCAAACAGGCGCCTACTGATCGGTTACGGGACTAACTGGTCCCACCACGCCTACCTGTAACAAGTCCACCACCGAGCTTGGCAAAAGGTTAACGCATATGAACAGAGTACAGTTTAATTAAAACGAAGCTACAGAAAAAGCCGAAAAGGAAAATGACCAGATAGAAAAATGCACGCGAAGGAGATCCATACCTGAGAAAATTTGAAAAATGATGAGGTGAAAAAAGCAAAACAGAAAAGTCCCGCATTAAATGAGCGCGACAGCGGAGAACCAACTGCCTTCCGAATTTCAAGATCTACATTTTTTGAATGCGGTGTAGCTGGTCGTCCAGTTCCTTCTTAATGACTGCCGGAAGATCGATGCCAACCTGATCATCTAGAAAATGTAGGGTCTCTTCGATGTCTTCAAGTAGATACTCCTTCGGCAGCGAAAACATTGCCTCCCAATCGACATTGAGGCCGGACAAGTTGAGGGAGCCCTCGACCGGCAAATAACCCAGAGGGCTTTTAACAGCGATGTCTTCACCATCACAACGACGGAGAGCCCAGTCAATAACACGGACGTTGTCACCGAAGCCGGGCCAGGCAAACCGACCGCACTTATCCAGACGGAACCAGTTGACGTGGAAAATTTTGGGCATCTTGCGTCCTGGTTTCTCCAACGAGAGCCAGTGTTCCAGGTATTTGCCAAAATTGTAACCCAGGAACGGTCGCATGGCCATCGGATCGTGCATAACCTGGCGACCTAGAGCGAACAAACGGGGTTTTATGTAAGGCGTGCAAGTTTCCAGGAATATTTATTTCATGGAACGGATGTTCGGATTGTAATGTTATGAAAATAAGAATGAAAGGCTGTGGCACTTACCCTTAAATTCAGCCGCAGCAGTGGCTTCTGATTTTACTTGGGCACCAATCATGACACCGTGTGCCCAGCTGTAGGCTTCGTAAACGAGAGGAATACCTACGGGACGGCGACCTCCGAACATAAGGGCTGAAACTGGCACGCCCTTGGGATCTTCCCAAAGCGGATGAATTATCGGGCACTGCGAAGCAGGACAGCAGAATCGCGAATTGGGATGTGCTTTGGCTGTCTGAGTAGTTGCACCCACTGTTGTCTTTTCACCGAGCCACGTGGTTACCTTAACATTCGGTCCATACTCCTCCTCGAGACCCTCCCAGAAGAAACGACCGTCATCAGTCTCGGCGACGTTTGTGAAAATAGAGTTCTTCATACAGGAGGCCATAGCGTTTGGATTGGTTTTGTTATTAGTGCCCGGAGCAACGCCAAAGAAACCGTACTCTGGATTTATGGCCCTAAGAACACCCTTTTCGAAAGTTAGGAGAACAACAAAAACGCCATACCTCTTCATCAAAGCGCATCCATGCGATATCATCACCAACAACCTGAATTTTCCATCCAGGCAGTGACGGTTTTAGCATTGCCATGTTAGTTTTCCCACAAGCACTAGGGAAGGCAGCACAGAGGAATTTTTCTTCCTTCGCAGGATTGGTGATAGACATGACCAGCATGTGCTCGGCCATCCATCCCTCATCATAGGCGATACAACTAGCAATGCGAAGAGCAAAACATTTTTTCCCAAGAAGAGAATTTCCACCATAACCACTTCCAAAACTGAGAATGAGACGTCGGTCGGGTATGTGAGCAATCATCGTCTTCTCGGGATTGCATGGCCAGTGGTTTACAACCTTTTCTAGTAGTTAAGTATAAAAATGAATATAATTATTTACCTTTATGAGGTCTCGGTAATCCAACAGAGTGGACGCATCGTACGAATTCTTTCTTTTCTTTTATGATTTTGAAGACTTCCGGGGACACGCGAGTCATAATACGCATGCACAGAACGACGTAGTTACTATCAGTGAGTTGGACACCATATTTTGCTAGTGGAGAGCCGATCGGTCCCATGCTGTACGGGATAACATACATCATTCGACCGGCCATGCAGCCGGGGAATCGTTCTTGGCTGTGAGTCTCCATGTCTTCTGGTGAGATCCACCTTCCCAAAGTCCCTTGGACACCCTCGTGGACATGAGGGACAGTCCTAAATTTTTCCTTGGTACAAATGAACGTCTTGGACTCGACTCGAGCAACATCTCTGGGATCAGTGCGACAGATAAAGTTATTTTCATAGGCCGTGAGCCGGGACAGTGTTCCCCTTTCTAAAAGCTTCTGCGTAATAAGGTCGGCTTCTTCACGACCCCCATCGCAGATGAAGAGACCTCGTGGATGGCAAATTTCAATCTTTAGATGTAATAGACACAAACTCAAAAACGTACCCATTTGCCAACAAAACGTTGAACATTCTCTGGTAGGTCGTGAAACTCGCCCTTTGCAATGGGGATATCTCCGATGTGGGGAAGTTCGATGGACTGAACCTTGGGAACGGGAAAATTGTCATCAACCCACATGACGGTACTAGATTATACGAAAACTGAGCGAGCAGGAACGCCAGAACACTATATACCCGAGCGGTTATATTCAAGGTTAAATCTTACAAAATATGATACGTTAAAACACAATGTACTTGATGTTTAAAGATGTCCTACTCTAAATAATTTGTGTTCACTCATTCATATTATTTATAAAAACTTCAATTCTGGGAAATTTTTTGGACGATAAAATTAGTTTAAGTACTGAAGATTTTACTAATAATACCAATTTGAACATTGTCGAAGAAGTCATGTGATAGTATAGTAGCTAATTAATTAACCAGCAAAATGATACGAAAAAGCAAATATTCTCGTAAGATAGAGTGAATTCTGAGCAAAATGAACGAACTCGTCGAAGCGTGTGTGGCAACAGCCAAATAGTTAGGCGATGGATTTGACCCGATTGAAAAATTCTACAGTCACAATGGACTTCAAAGGCATGGAATAGTGAGCCAAATAACCTGGGCTGCCTATTTACCATTCCAGTAAGTCATATCTGTTTTAGCCGTTAAATGTAATAAACCTGACATATTCCAGGCAAATGTAAATCCATTTCTCATTTAAATGCCAAAATATATCAAGTCACTATGTTTGGAAAACGTGCGAACGGGCCACCATCTGCAATACATGTCAGCAGTTTCGTCAACCAGTTTCCCACCCTAAGACCTTCTGTGATTTCACGAGCAATTGCACCTACTCACTGATAACGTGGTTCAGAACCATTTCTTCAATGTTCAACTCGTATACGGAGAGATGTAAATTAGCGAACATTACATTTCTGTGGGTAAGAAGACCCGACGCCAGCCTCTGCTTCCTCCTTCCCGTTAACTTTAGCCCTAATCTTCCACAAGTTAACGCTCTCACACCTTATGCCACTAGTTATTCCTCCATGATAATTCCGCTAACTCTTAGCTGTACATTTAAACGTTTTCGTTCTTTTGCCTTCAAATATGCTTTTATCAGGAATTATCTTCCACTTGAGATTAGGATGTCGTCCGCATAAGCTGTTTTCAGAGACAATTTACGTGACTATTTAACTTCGATCGATATAAAGTCCTTATTGTCCAGTTCCTACTCAAACACGTAACACTTGGACTTTAAAAATGGTCCTCCTGGTAGTTGAGGCGGTTTCCTTGGTATTAAATTGGTTTCTGAATATACTTACATTACCCTCTGCAGAATAAATCTTTGCAGGCGTTCTTGAATCACCTATTTTTATTCTTCAGTGCATAAAGTCGACAACTTTTACGCATTCCTCTGTTATGCATATCTGACGATGGTTTCCCTGGTCAAACATAAATCTCCATCGTCAGACGCTGGCCTTCTTATTTTCTGTTGATGATCGTGGCGCTTTCTTTCGTTTTTGCCACCCTGTTGGTGGACGCTACAGTCCATCACGTCGCATCTCAGGCATTTGGGTGATAGTCTCGTGAACTCTACTGTCTCCTCCTCGCTTCGACCCCGATGTCCTCAATGAGCTCCTCCTACTCCTCTCCTGCCTCCCTGCTGGTTGATCCTTTAGCCAATTGTCCGTTGATAGGACGGTAAACGGTAATCGCTACAGGATTGCTCCAACGAGAAATAGCGTTTTAAACCCTCACACTTTCTCGTCACAGTCACGGTCCTTCCTCATTGTACCGTATCGATCCTATCAATCCTATTGGCTTCATGGTTTCTAGTCATGCTCGTGGCGTTCCTGCTATTTTAGGCAACTTTTCGCTGGACTCCGCAGCCCAGAAGGTCGCATCTCCGGCGTTCCGCAGATTATCACGTGACCTCTACCGTTCCCTCATCCTTTCGACCCTGTTGTCCGCGATGAACTCCACCTGTCTCACCTCCCCGATAGTTGATCATGAAGCCAGTCAGGCGGTATTACGGTTGTGAACGGTAGCCGCTGCTGCTATATGATTTCTCCAACGACAAGAGGCCTCTCCAACCCTCATACGCTTTCCTCAACCGTCCTGTCTCATTGCACTGCAATCAGTCCTATCAACCAACCTCTTCAATTTTGTAGAAGCAGTTATTTCTCCTACGTTCTGTTTTTTTTAAGTGGAGGTCCGCTAAATTCTGTTCCCGCTTTAATGGTAGGACTTTTTTTCACTTCTTCCTCCTTAGTTCACCGCACATTTCGGAGAGTGTTGACTATAATTTTAAAATGACCACTACACTAAACGCTCCAGCTGCCTATGTGGTTGCTCACGGAGAGCATCATATATCAAATTTGTATTTATATTTCCACAGCACTAAGTTTGCAATGACGAGTCACTCCGGGCCTAAGATATAGAATAAATTAATTTATAATGTGTTAATTAAATAAGTAGCATAAAAATAAACTTAATAGGCGAAAAAATTCGAGGTCCAGATAAAATATGCCTTTCATCCTCACCGGACGAGGAAGAAGAAGAAAAGACGATTTCTGGGACCGATGTGTATTTTGGCTGACTTTTCAAAAGCGTGCTCGCTTCGATCTTCAGAGCGTGGTATCTGTATTCCTGTTCGCGTCAGATGAATGTGTCCGACCAGTAGCTTCGCCTAATGCCCACGTGCCCATCGATTTCACCGATCGATTTTCGTGGCTGTTTAAATTGCCCGTGCCCTCACGGCTGTTTTCTTGAGCTGTGTCAAGTCGTTTTTGTGTCTCGTGAGCGTTTCCACCCTCTTTGCTCGCGGCTGCCGATTATCGGCCCTGCTTATCTCTCTCCGCCCGACCTGTTGTTCTGTTCTGAGCCGATGTTAGCCTTTTGCGGAGCGCTTTGTAGGCGGGATGAATGTCCATGGCTCTGTTTAGTGTGCCAGTCAAGGACCAACTCTCTAGCAGCGATCTGGCCAGCTACTGGTTGGCTCGGCCTATTACTCTTGCTTCTTAAAAGGCGAATGTGTGTTTCTTCTGCTGTACGTGGTCACAGACGAAAGACAGCTTATCCTGGCGGTTGATTGCGAGCTGATGCCCATGCAAAATTGTGCCAAGGCGTCTGCCCGTTTCATCGACATACCTTGTAGTGCAGTCTTGGCATGGTATGCTGTACACCACAGCTGATTGTCCTGTCAAAGGAAGCGGGTCTTTGGGCCTCATGATCTGCTGTCTGATGGTTGACTCCGGCCTATGAGCCACACCGATCCCGAATGGTTTCAGGATTCTTGCAGTCGCCTCTGATATATTCTTCACAAAAGGGATTGCAAGCCAGAACTTAGGGTCCTCTCCTTTCGGCCGCTCATGGTGGGGCTTCTTAAGACGCTTGCATACAAAGGACTTTGGATAACCGTGGGCGTAAAATAGAGCATGCAAGTACTTAATCTCTTCCTTTTTCCCACTTTCGTCACAGCAATGTGTCCGAACGCGTTGGAAGAGGGTTCTAACACAACTGCGTTT